AGACAGATCTCATCGGTGTGTTTAACGTCGCTGTGCGTTAAACGGCTGAATATTTGAGAGTTTCGACTGGGAAACCTGAAGGACAGGGATGTTGTGGCTGCGACCTGATGACTAGTGAAGATCACTTGGAAATCACCCGGGTGCACACAAGACTGTACACAGCGAGTGTGTGAACGATGCTGCTCACGTTGCTACTGCTTCTGCACGCGCACACAAAGTCATGAGTCGAGTATAAATCAGTCCTCTATGCTTCGTGTCGAGCGGCATCACCCCGCCCTGGTGGAAGATTATTTTCCTATAACAGAACACTTTCTACTAGACTGGTAAATCAGTGCAAGCAATATTCCTTTGTGACTTGTACTACACTTATACACGTGTTACTAATGCAATAAAACGTTCAAATATTACAGTAGTTCTATATTATAAATCTGGATTATTTTCATTAAATATACAGAATCTCACAAAAGTGAGTATACCCCTCACATTTTTGGATCATCTTTAGAGATATATAGATATATATTAGTCATAGAAAATTCATAGTGTCCATTTGGGGTTGCTTGCCCAAAGCGTTTGAGAACCCTTGAGTCAAATGTGCTTAGTGTGCGCTAATTATTTTGGCTATAGTAATAACTCATTGTAACGACCAACTCAGACCATTGACTCTTCTGTGTGATGCATCATCAGTTATTAAGGTTTCTCTGTGATCGTTACTCCTGGAATTAATTCGGATACAGACACTACTACCATCACACACACTGCTGTTTGGGATACCGTCGATATTAGCACAGAGATGCATTCATCCGAACACACATTTATATTTGCGCTTTTACCTCCAATAATTTCATCCTTGACTTTCTGCAGCTCTTTCCTCACTTCCTCCAGCAGCTCCTACAACACACACACACACAAAATATTACATTTTTGGCAGTGTAAAAGATTGGTAATGCTCCCTAACTGTGTGTAGCTGTGGGTATTCTGAGTCGATCACCAACAGCTGGCTGGAGACCTGTTGTTCTGCACTGTGCTACAACACAGTAAACAATGCTAGTTGGTCTACCTGCGAGAGCACTAAACAGGTGACTTCCTGGATCTGGAAGTGTTCCCGACATGCTCATACTGCTTTTCAACCAAATCTTAAAAAGGGGTCATATGATGATGCTTTTTAACGTTTTCCTTTTCCTATAGTGTGAGATGCATCTGTTTGTGCATGTATACGATCTGCAAAGCTACAAAGCTCATAGTCTCTCACAAAGGGATTTATTCTATATGACCGAGAACGCTGCTTCAGACCGGCCCAAAACGCCAAGTCCAGATATTACTTCTGCAAACGTCTACGTCACAATTTTAATTTTAAACCGTATTCGATCATGTCACCTTAAGACACCACAGCGAAGAAGACGAACGAAACCGTTATAACATCGTACCTGAAAGCCAAGAGTTACAAAATAAAACTTAACATCATGACACGTCCTGCTTGCCAAGTTCATTCCACTTGATCTGCTTCATCATCCGCATTTTCAGAATCCAACTCGAACGGATACGGTAAACCCGACGACATTATAAAACGTGTTCAAAATTGCTTTAGAAGCCTTGGAAGCTGAAGCTCACGATTATGGTAAGGGGCGTTATGTTTCCGACACACACTTGAGGTTTTTGGCCAAATCACAACACGATGGGTCAGCTGGCCAATGAGAGCACTCTGGGCTTTTCAGAAGGAGGGGCTTTGGAGAAACCGGAACTCAAATCGGAGTGTTTCAGCCAGACTGGGAATGGAGGTAGTGTACAGTATGTGAAAAACAATGCATTTTAACCTATTCTCTTACACCCAATAAACAAAATAATGAACTTTTAAAAACAGGATACGACTTTCCCTTTAAGATTTGTGCATTTTTCCATTTTATTTCAATAAAAACATCTTACCAGCCACAATACAACATTCATTTTAGTGCATGAGCCATCAACAGTCAACGGTGATGCTGAATGACGGTACTAGAGACATCAACAATGAAACTTACTGTAGTACTACAACAAGATCCCACACATCCTTATAGAAAATCAGTTGACATAACGAATCAGTGAGCGGACACTAATGAGCTACACTTTGTGATTTAAACAGAATTGTCTAGCACAGGAACATACCTAGTTACATTCTGCAGAGAGAACCCCGAGCAAATTATCGAACAATTCTTTTAACAATAGCTGCATATGGTCATGTCAGTTTCTCAAGACTTTTAAAGCAATGAAAAACTTTCGCACCGATACTTAACCCGTGAGACGTCACACCACAGCATAAGGTTTATATACACTACAAGTTAAAAGTTTGGAGACACTGACTAAAATGTTTCTCATCATCTTAAAAACCTTTTGATCTGAAGGTGTGTGACTGTCGTAGATACATCTAGCTGTGACAACATATTCATTTCTTTCATTAGAAATTGAACTTTTTTTTTTTCTTCTTTAAATGGATGACTTGGAGAGAAATATTCTGAAAAGCAGCCAGTAAGAGTCCAGCATCGGTGGGAACTCCTTGAATACTGTATAAAGAGCATCTCGGGGGGGGGGGGGGGGTGTAATTCCTCAAGAAATCGGTTGAGAAAATGCCAAGAACACATTTCTGGAAATTCTAGTATTTCAAAAAGGGTGTCTGCTTTGAAAATGCTAAAATACTAAATATTTAACATAATTCCCCATAGTTCCATTTGTGTCATTCCAGAGTTTTGATAACTTTATTATTCTAAAATGTGGAGGGGGAGGGGAGGGGGGAGTCTATATATAGACTGCCAGTCAAATATTTAGACACGATCATTCATTTTACAGCACAGGGAGGAAGCACCAGCATGCTAGTCAATGGGGTCACATCACTGTGTATAGAATACCGTCAGTGTTATTTAGGACTATAATATGGACATAGTTTTGTTCGTCATGGGTGTGATTAGAATCTGACCTGTTTGACTCTCTCCAGTTCAGACTCCTCTCCACTCTCAGCATCATTCGATGAGCCAGCTGCTTTCAGCCTGGTGGATAGAGAGAGCAAGTAATGAAGGAAAAATAACAGTCATGATGAGAATGCAGAGAAGGTAAAGCAAAAACAGGGGGGGGGAACCATGTTTTTGCAGAAAAAACAGCAGAAAAGCTTTGCTTCAGATAAACCCATCTAAAAGCGAACAGAACAATTCATGCAAAAGATCCTATTTAATAGGGACATAACCTAACCTGGGCATTAGATTTTTTCATTATCCACGAATAACTCTCCGTATGCAGCGGTTTGTCACTACAGAACTGAACGTCAGTAAAAGAAGACGGCGGTGTTAAAGTTGATATAGTTGGTAAAAAAAAAAAAAAGTTTTTTTTTAATTTAATAAAATACTTTTTTTTTGGCGGACAGCTCCCTTCTCCTTAAAAACATTTTCTCAATTTGTTGGGGGGAAAAAAAAAAAAAAATTTTTTTTTTTTTTAAAAAAAAATAAAAAAATATATTTTTATGAAGAAAAAAAAAATTTATTATATTAAAATTTTAATAATTAAAAAAAAAAAAAAAAAAAAAAAAAAAAAATTATTAATTTTTATATTTTTTTATTTTTTTTTTAAACTTTATTACTTTTTTTTTATAAAAAAATTATTTTTTTATTTTTTTTTTTTTTTTTTTTTTTTTTTTTTTATTTGATATAGTCCGATTTAGACCCATTCTTACACTAAATAAAGATTTTGACTGATATTCTTCCAATTCTGATTATAATTCAGGTTTGACCTCTGATTTGACTCATTTTGACAGCGGATTTCGTCTCGTAGCTCATAACGTACGCCCTGTGAGCACTCTCCTTTTGTTTCTGTACGAACAGGTCTAATAACTGCTCATAAACAACTACTAAAGTCTGTTATGTTTGCGTGATGAAATGCCGTATATGTTTCTGTCTCAGCTTAGCGACTCTGAAATGGGTTTTCTGACGACTACACAATCATAATAAAATGGAGCAATTCCAGACGACACATCAGGGAACAACAGTACAATTACATGGACACCAATGAGCACCCGACAAAACACCGCTGACCACGGACGAACCCTGCAACCCAACGCAACCTGAAACTATAGAAAATAAATGAAGAAGTATATAATGTTAGTCATGAATATGAGGCAAAATGACATCCCAAAGATCTTGTTAGTCAACAAGGAGAAGTTCATACAGCAGCATTTAAACACCAGGCGGATGGTACACTGTAGCAAAGCTGGGGAGTGGGGCGGGGCCAACAGTATCTATACAGTCCCCTTCAAAACTGTTGGAACAGCAAGGCCAATTCATTCCCTTTTGCTGTAACATTTGGGTTTGAGATCAAAAAGATGAACATGAGAAGAGAGTTAAACAACAAGTGCCCACTTTATAGGTGAGCGAAAATATTGGAACACGTGACAGACGCGTGTTTCATGTTAAGTAGGTGTGTCCTGTTCAATTTATTGTTTAAAGAATAATCAGCTCTGAACATCTAGTCTTGGTGTTAGCATTTGTTGTCAGCAGATATATAGACGCCATACCACAAAAAGCTAATCAGCACTAAGATTCAGAAACCCAGACTGGAATTAAAGAAATGCAGATATGAGCCACAAAAGTTCTGGAACCAAGACTGACCCACACTAAAGTGATGGAAAGGCCAAAGTGTGTAGAAAGAAAGGATCTGCTCATGATTCAAAACATACAAACTCATCTGCTTCTACATGAAACATGGTGGAGGTAGTGTAATGGCAGGTTCTGGAATGGGCTTTACTGACTATTCTTCTTCTCCATCATGCTGGAAGGATTAGCCGCTCAGCAGTATGATACTGAACGTTGCCCAGGGTGCGCCAGGGGAGGCTCCTTCCGTGCATACACATTCACACCCCCATTCATACACTATGGACACTTTGGACATGCCAGTCAGCCTACCATGCATGTCTTTGGTTCTGGGGGAGGAAACGGGAGTACCCGGAGGAAACCCCTGCAGCACGGGGAGAACATGCAAACTCCACACACACGGGGTGGGAAACGAACCCCCAATCCTGGAGGTGTGAGGCAAACGTGCTAACCACTAAGCCACCAGCGCACTATCTTTATTGATGATGTAACTCATGACCGAAGCAGCAGAATGAATTCAGAAGTTTACAAGAACATTTTCATTGCCCATTTACAGAGAAATGCATCCAAATTAATCCAGAGGAACTTTATCATGCAGCAAGACCATGATCCAAAACGCACTGCCAACTCAACAAAGGACTTTATCAGGGGGAAAAGTGGAAGGTTTTAGACTGGCCGCGTCAATCACCAGACCTTAACCCAGCTGAGCAGCATGTCACCTCCTGAAGACGAGACTGAAGGGAGAACCCCCCCCACACACACACACACCCCCAAAACAAACAACAACTGAAAGTGGCTGCGGTAAAAGCCTGGAAAAACATCACAAAATTACGAACCAACAATTTGGTGATGTCAGTGAATCGTAGGCTTGATGCAGTTACTGAAAGCAAGGGATATGCAACTAAATATTAGGTGATGTTTAGCTTACTTTAAGGCTTTATCGGTCACTATAATTTTGCTCGCCTACAAATTGGGTGGTCTGATATAAAAGATAGTATGTCTGATGATGTTCATTACATCTAGATGTAAATACCAGGGAATCAAAGCTGAAATCCTAAGCTCACGTCTCATATACATCTTTTGATCTCAAACCCAAATGTCTTTGGTGTGTAGAAAACACAAATGAATTGGCCTTGCCGTTCCAGTAGATTTAGACGAGACTGTATGCGTGTGTGTGTGTGTGTGTGTGTGTGTGTGTATGGAGGTTTAGATGTTAGTGTACCTGGGTGTCAGAGCAGTGACGGCGGGTGAATCCAGACCTCGGGGAACAGAGTTATTCCTGTATGAAACACAAACTGTGTATATATGTATATATACCCACACTCTGATTGGACATGATTAAGCGATAATCAGGTGACGGGACGGGGAGGTTGTTAAGGGGAGTGTCTTTCGTTGTGTGTGTGTGTGTGTGTGTGTGTGTGTGTGTGTGTGTGTGGGGAAGAGTATCCCACTCTAAACACGCCACTGTAACGTAATTAAATTAGCACATCTCTGCTCTGATGTTCCACTGATGTTCCTGATGTTGCGCCCTACTGAGAGACCATTTAATCAGAAAACATTACAGCAGAAATGCATGAGGAGGAATGGGGAATTCTGCCTCACCTGGGCATGGTAGCAGACTTTTCCCACGGCCTCCTTAACGTGTCTGATAAGACAAAACACATAGTGAAGCCATTAGCAAGAGCAACACGCGCGCGCACGCGCACGCACACACACATATACACACACACACACACACACACACACACACACCTTACCGCTTTGGCCTTGAGATTCAGAATCATCCTGCAAAAGCAGAAAAGAGAGATCAATAACTTCTTTGCTGAAACATTACTGTAATCTTCACGCTCATCTTAAACTTCCTGCTGTAAACGGTTACAGAGTGATTCAGCGGTTTTAAATCTGCCTGGCAGATTTAATGCTCTCGGTCAGCTCGTCGGAGTAATAATACACTGTATAGACACACACAGAGGCGCAGAGACAGAGATACACACTCAGACAGAGACACAGAGATACACAGACAGATACGCAGACACCAAGGCGCACGCACGTTACTGGGCTCTTCTGTCTTTGGGGCCGGAGGAGCTTTCTCGCCTTTATCTGCTGCTTTCCTCCTGGAAATACACACACAGTTAATGTAATTATTACTTTACGGAATGGAGAAAATGAGTAAAAATAATTGTTAAAAAAAACGGATCCAAAATGTTTTTATTAAAAGTATCCAGACTGTTTTACAAAGGAGAGAGAGAGAGAGAGAGAGAGAGAGAGAGAGAGAGAGAGAGAGAGAGAGAGAATGAGTGTGTGAGACTAGTGTACCGTCGTGCAAGTATGGCACTCATCTCTCCGAACAGGTCTCCACCTCCTCCGCTAGGCCCAGACCCACTGCAGCGGCTCAGGTCAGGTTTAGCAGGAGCAGGGGCTGGAGCAGGAGCAGAAGGGGCTGCAGTACCAGCTTCATCCTGCTGATGGCAGCACACACACACACACACAAAGTACAATACAGAGAGACTACTAAACAGAATCACACCCACTGAATGAAGTAATATAAACAAAGTGCATCTGGTCATATTTATTAGAACAAAAATGATCATTTCTTACATACCTTGGCGACTTTGCGTAGTTTTGCTCCCGCAAGAGCAGCAGCAAGTCCACCTCCCCCTAAACCTCCATCACCGCCCCCACCTGAGGCAGAGGGAAGGGGTGGTGCTGGAGGTGGGGGTGCACCTCCACCAGAAGGTGGGGGTCCCGGTGGTGGTGGGGGTCCACCTCCAACAGAGGGAGGGGGGCCGGGTGGAGGAGGTGGAGCAGGGGGAGCTGGTGGGCCTCCAGGGGCAAGAGGAGGAGCAGGAGGAACCATCACTGTGAAATGAACACAATAAATATAACACCGAGAAGGGGGAACAGTATACCCATCCTCTCCTTCCTTTCTACTGTGTACAGTGACTAACGCTCTATTCATACTGGGTATTAACATCTACCTCAGGTGAACTGATCACTGCGGTCCACTAGCTGAGATCTACAGCCATTCAGAACTGCTATCGTGTGTGCATGTGCATGTCCACAGACCACTGTTTTAACATCTTGTGGTGCCAAATCTGCTTGACATAAGCAGCCCAACTGCAGCTCACACTACTGTACAGCCCAGACCTCAAAGAAAGTGTTTATTTAGATGTTCGATGGCATTTTACAAGATAAATGGTTAGAGACACAGATTTGTCACAAAAAGAATTTTTTTTTAGCAACTTATGCATATCTAATTCTAAATCATACTCCATGTACTTTTAAAAACCAGACAAATGAAAGAGAGAGAAACAAAAAGTGAACTGCAGATATTCATTTAGTTACTGCCAGCAGAGTGAGGGAGTGTGGCCCAAGAGATTGAATGTGATTCTTGAAGGAGGTCCCTAAAGTAATGCTTCAGTAACGTCCCACTCTGCCCTCGCCTCATAGGCCGGACTGCGTACAGCGGAGAACTACACAGAGCCTTCGTCATAAAGATCACTGTGCTTCTCATTTCGGTTTTCCTATAGCCAGCTATTCTACTTTTGAATGACTGGTTAGTCATCATCTGATTAGTTTACTAGAGTGGCAAAACAGCAAAAATACCACAATGAGCATGTACAAAACGAATGGAAATGTGCATGAGAAACGATAACACCGAGCTCTCAGCACTACGCTAACGTCACACAATCCAATGATCTGATTAACGACGATAATTTGACAATCAAGTTGTTAAAATACGATTTACACACTACATACAAAAAGATCGATAAAAAATGATAATCATACTTAATGTGCCAACAGCATGGAGGTATTTATAAGAATATACGTTGAGGTAAGGAGGAGCTTGAACCGGAATGAAATTTACACCGACCTGAAGCAACCTGTCGCTCTCTCTCCTGTCTCTCTCTCTCCAATCTCTCTCTTTCCTGTCTCTCTCGCTCTTGTCTCTCTCGCTCCAGTTGCTCCAGTCTCTGTTGTTCCAATCTGCATATGAAATAACATATATTACAATACAGCACACACGTACACATTTACACGCGCACACGTGAACGCGCCATTCCCGAGCACAACATGTTCAGCCTGCCATTGAATTTGGCTTGATTGAGATTTTTTTTTAAAGCATTTTATTCACATAATATTTATAACAACGTAGGTGAAAAAAACATTTTTTATTGTGACCCAAAGGTTAATTAAACAAAAAAAAAAAAAAGCAGATCTTTGTTGATTACGCAAGTATTCACTCCCCCTGGGTCAATATTTGGAAAAACTATTGGCTGTAGTTACAGCTGCAAGCCTTCTGGGATACGTCTCCATCAGCTCTGCGCATGTAGCTCCTGATATTTCTTCCCATTCTTCTTGGCTGTTGCATTGAATGCGGAACGTTGCTGAACTGCAATTTTCAAGTCTTGCTACAGATCCTCGATTAGATTCAGGTCTGAGTTTTGACTGGGGCATTCCAACACTCAAATTCTTGGTTTCGAACCACTCCAGTGTTCGTCAGTGGGTTTAGGCCTGTTGTCATGTTGGAAGGTGAAGCTCCGGCCCAAGTCTCAAGTCTCTTGCCTTGTATTTGGCACCATCCATCTTGCCCTCAACTCTGACCAGTTTTCCAGTCTCTGTTTATGAAAAGCATCCCCACAACATGATGGTACCACCACCATGCTTCACACTGGGGATGATGTTCTCAGTGTGATGAGGAACGTTGGGTCGCTGTCAAATGTAGGCCAAAACATTTGGGAGTTTCCATCCCACAAGTATATACACGTGTTGTTTTTTATTAAAGCCATGGACCATCGTCCGTCAAGTCCAGCTTTGTAAAGTGTCAAAACTACAGTTGTCTATGGACAGCCTCCTCCAGGATACTGTGTGAGTCAATACTGTGGAATATTCTTCCCATTTTTAAATAATTGATTTAATGGTGCTCTTTGAGATGTTCCAAATTTGGGATTTTTTTATTATTATTTTTTTTTAAACCAAACCCTGGTTAATACTTTTCCATACCTCGGTCCTGACCTTGTTTTGATAGCTTCTTGATCTTCATGATGCTGTTTGTTTAATCACTAGTGTGTTACACTAGCTTAGGAGCATTGAGTGTGAATACTTATACGATCGCAAATTTCAGGTTTTTCATGTGTAAATAAGTTTGCTATCTATAATTGACTGAATTTCCCACTTCACTATTATGGGCTATTTTGTGTAGATTCAAGACATATAAGGCCAATTAAGTCATTTCGTCGATCAGAGCTGAACTATACTAGACATCGCGACGTCCGCATGTCAAATCATTGGCTGCCATGGTAAAATCCGTCAGAAACGTTATGTTAAAAGTTTGGCAAGAGACAAATAAATCTTTAACAGAAAATATTTATTTCATGTAAAAACTGAATCTAATTTAACGAGTTCGCCATTACTGTGAAGTGACCTGTGCACGCTCACTTCACTTGCACTCTGAACGGTCAGACATAA